CGTTACAACTGTGTGACAAATAAATTATTTGATTTGAAGAATAATAAAAAAAATATGCGTATAAAGTATATTTATAAGTGAAATATTTAGGTTCTTATAATCGCTTATAATAATTTAAGGTTCTGTTTAATCTAGAATACATAAATCACAGAAGTGTTACGAGCTCACAGATAATCAAAAGATAGAGAAAAAACTATTATTACACTGTTGAATATCTATGTAACTTCTTAATATTATCTGTACCTACCAGCTTTAATTACCAAAAAAGAGGTTTTAGTGTTGTAAATTTTCTCTCTCTTTGTTTTACACTGTAATTGATTAATACTTACTGTACCTTATATTTTGGCTGTACCACACCATGTTTGTTTTATGCATGTAGCGCCTACCTGATTTACTCTGTATATTGTTAATACTATATTTTCATACTCTGTAATACCCGAATACTGGCGGGCCTTTTTTAAATAAATAAATGAATCCGCTGATCATTGGCGATTTTCCTAAGCTCAATAGTAAACTTAGCATAGGGTTAGCCATTAAGCTGTCTGGTGTCTATCACGAGGTAACGACGGCAGCTCTCCGCACCGCCAGTCACGACACCTATAATCAGAGTACTTTACAGAAACTGCGCTGTCTGTCAAAAATAACTATACAATTAGCCTTAGCTGGATTTGTGAACGCCTAGCCTAGCCTTGAAATAATTCCTAAGTCTGTACAAACGTTCTCGATATTCTAAATCTAAATAGGCAAGTTTTAAGTAAACCTGAACGTGTAAATTAGTTATATTCAGCCCTTTTAATTACTTTAATTGACAAACGTAGGACATAACTAAAAATTTTCACAAAAATACATACCTACAATCAAGTAGGTAATTTCTTTATTCTTCGTTGCCCGAGTCAATACAATAAGCTTAATGCGAAATATTTATTTATAACAGAGGTGGAAAGAATAACGGGGTTATAACATTCTAAAAGCAAGTATTTATTATTTTAAATATTCATATAATGAAAATATTAAAATAGTTAACGAGAACGCAACTAAAAAGTTTAATGCGCGCGCCGTATAAAATAACGCTGGGATAAAGTTGACACGGCCGCAGCGGCCAAAGGGCATCAATTGCACTTCTATCGCCAAACAAAGCAATGGCTGGTCACTCTGTGACGTAGTAATTCGTCGTTTCCCGTGCTAGACGCGACGATTAGTCCTCTATTTACTTGTCTATCCGCTGGAGCTGGCAGCTGACGCCGGACGCGCCCGACAGACGGACACCGTTACAATTGCAACACTGACTTAGAAAAACGTTAGCCACGAAACAGCCTGTCCGTGCTAATTCGATTCAACGTACGTCTGGATTGTTCTATTAAGGCTCTCGTCTCTTACAAACATAATGTACAGCTTATCAAATTGACAAACAATACTCGCATTTTCTAATTTCTTTTTACTGTTAATGTAGTTTGTGGTTCCCTAGCTACTTCATAGTTACTCCTTACTCCTTTGGGGGGGGGGGACTTGCTTTTTCCCATTTTACAAGCACAACCCTTTCCTTTTATTGGTTATTATTTAGTTTATTTTATGCAATTGTTAAGCTAATACTTAAGTGTTTATGTCTTCTGACATAAATGGTTAAAATAACTAGAGACTTGGCGTATGCTGACTTTGACTAGGTCAGCGTGTGAAAGAGACAACAACAGTATTTTTATCCTGCATGCGACCGAAGGTGTTAATAGGAGACCGCAACCTTACGGCACTTGATTGAAAATCGGTACTTATCGTAGATTGCCTCGCTTTAGCAGGCCAATTTCACGTTTTCTTGTTACGGATTGGCATTGCCGTGACGCTTGTTTGACTATGAAGTGATCCTTTTACAATTGAAAACACTAAGATCGAGTTTTACGAAAAACAAAAACCTCATTTCATTTACACCACACACAAAAGAAAGCACCCAACTTCTAATTTTCTAAACTTATGAGACTAACAAATGTACTGATCTTATAATTTAAATAAAACAATTTTAGCGGAGGTAAAACGCGAAATGTACCTATTAGTTAAACTTAACAAATGACTATAATAACCGCCCAACATTAATATTAAACTTAAAATATAAAGCTATATTAAATACTTCTATAGTTGACACAGTGAGTAATATTTAAATAAAACACTTAATTTAAAACGCGATATCTTCTCGTGGTCACGGGTGAGACTCCCCGTGACCACGTCTATAAAGATTGAAACGTCGGGCGAAGTTAAAAATTTCTCAAAAAAGTTTAACTAATATATCGCGTTTTAAACCGTTAAAGTGTTTCATTTAAATAAATCGATATTAGTTTTTATCATGAAAATAATATATTGTTTAGATACTTCCCGCGTCCACGCCATCTGTAAAAAAATATGAGTAAAGATTACGCATTACGATTTTATTCGATCTATTATCTTAAGTATATAGATATTTAATTTACTTATTAAACAAACATCCAATTTCCAGGAGATTGAAGCAAATCATAAATCATCCTTACCGACTTAACAGTCGATCAAGTTCAAATAATGTGGTAATATTTGTCAAAGTTAGACTACGGAAATACTAGAATACGTAGTGCACACTCTTTTCCTATTTGCGACTCAATAAGAGAAAGATTTGTGGTTCCCACAGATACAGATATGATGTAAAAGATGCAATCTCGGCAGGGCACGACCTTTCGAAGATCGCACATGAACTTAGAACCCTGGAGCACATTTAATCGTTCGACAATCTTACGCGGCAAAGAACAATACTCAATAATGTCTAATAAACGAACGTAATTAATGAAACTAGATAATAGTCATATTGAACTTGCACCGCACGTTTGCTACAAACTAAGTTATTTATATCTCTGACGAGCTTGTGGTTCGGGATATCTATTAGTTACCAATTGTAAGTTCGAAGCCCAACAGATTCAATATGTTTATTTTTTTCTGCTGTTCTAAGCATAAATAGTAAGTTGGATGGAACATCTAGGTAGACCTGCAGCCAGGAAGTGAGAATCTTTGTTTTGGGTTAAATTTTTGGATTACCCAATATCTAAAGCCGAAATGTAGCTTAAATAAATGTTGTAAGGGTGGTAGGCATTATAACTTCTATCAATGAATCTCATACTTGTCTGTACACCGGAGTCATTAAAACGAAAGTAAAATATAGGAAAAATAAACTACTTTCATAGTTGTCAAGTTCATTGTCCATAAGATGAGTTAACTCGAACATGTTTCAACTCACAATGCATTTCGATGGTACTTCACCTCTGAGAGAATATTAAATACCCGAGACCTTTCCTCGAACTAGTGTTTCCGTTGAAAACTAATCAACGCGAGCCATTACGGCATCAGACCTGGTGCCTACACTAATATATCTCGGGCACACCTCGGGCGAGAAGAACCTTCGTTCGAGAGGAATTAGCTCAGACAACGCCACAATAGTCCATAATTATGAAATGTGTTGTGATTCCAGCAGGATAGCAATTTTTCTCTGGAGTCGAACAATGCGAGACGGTAATGAAAGGAGTCAATCAGTCGGTGTCTGCGAAATACGCCCGTGTTAATTTATGCCCTGCGCGGGCGCATACAGCGCACAACGCATAAATATGCTGAGCTGTTTCTCACGAGACAAAGGGAGATGAAGTCGCGTTGCGTCCTTTGATGTCACACTTGCATAATTTTCAGGTGTCACGCAAAAAATTAATGGAAAACGTTTCGGTGTACAAAAGGCGCGTGTCTCGGGACAGGTTTAATATATTCCTGAGTCTAGGTCTCGCGTGAATTTATAGCGAAGGACGTATTATTTACTAGCATTATACGCACAATTTGCGAAGCTGTCGCAAGGACTGGCTATAATTTTCCGATGGCAGGAGATCCATCAATACATGCCTGGGGCCGCGGCCGCTTTCAATTTGTAGGCCGCCTCGTGTCCGGCAATTATCGGACGGACGGAAGGTCATCAACGATATACGCGCTTAATAATACCTAATGACATTTTATGGAGATCTTAAGTGGGAGTGTGATGAGCATTAGACATCAGCAAGTACGTATTTTACTTTGCACAGTAAATGCATCATTTACCCCTAGGTACTTCAGTTATGCATAACTTAATTGAGTTTCAAAGGGAATTGCAAATATTAGCGAGGAGTATAATTTGAAAGATAATCGTTGTACATTATGTGTAATTAGATTTTATGCACTATATTTATAAAAAAACATAAAAGTACCCTCAATTGGGCGAAAATTATTTTTAACTCCATTGTGTTTATTAGTAATGGCTTCATCTGTGGTTGAACGGGTTAGCGTTGCAGATGCTAGGTTGGAATCACAAATTACGTAATAAAAACTATTTCTCCTAAGCTCACTGAAACCAAAAAGGCCCCGAGCGGCTACAACCGCCCTCCCTGCCGCCACCACATAGTGGCTTGACGGCCTTTTCAACTCCTGCGAACACACTTCCCCGCGCCAGGAAGGAGCCGGGTGATCGATTTTAAACCGGGGAAGGACGTGCTAAGGCAGCGAGTACGCCCGATCTCGCTGCTTTCCTCACAGTCGAACTGTTCGAGACGCTCCTCTTCCAATTATCAACAAGAGGCACCGCGTCCCGAACAGTTCGGCTTCCGCCCCGGCCATAACGAGTCTCCAGCTACGAGGGTGCTTCACCGCGGCCACCGGCGAACAAGAGGAGGTGTTCGCGCCGTCTTCCTGACATGGAGAAGGCCTTCGACCTGTCTGGCACGCCTCTTCAGGAATCACTTAAACTTCGCAGTCTGGCCTCCTCACTCCTTCCTTCTCGACGCGCTTCCATGTGCCGTCGAGGGGGCTTCGCCGACTACCGAGGCGTTCCCAAACTGATCTCGCCCGCCCCTACACGACGTCGCAGACGACTCCCCACCACCACCGGGCCCGTACCCACGACACGGCGTCCTAGTCATCCTCAAGCGCCCAGCCGCTCAAACTACACGGTCATAACCTCCTCCTGGCTAGAAGAAAGGCGGATGGCTGCAGCAAGGCATTGTCGGGCGGGAGCGCCCAGTTCTCCGCTCCTCGACACGGACGCAGGTAAGTACCTGGGCGTCACCTCAGCCGGCTTCGCTAGAAAGCACGATCGCGCCGCAGGACCGCCCACCGCGCCAAGCTGCGGCCACTCCTCGAGTCCCATTGCCGAGCTGCCAAGCCGCTTCCGGCTATCGGCCCCACCAACCGCGCCCCCTGGTACGGCCTCAGTCAATCTTCCCGGCAAGCCTAGAGCCGTACAGCATAAACACTCCACCATCGTCGACCGCCGGTACGTGAGAAACGCGACCATCGCCCGGGACCTCCGTCAGGAGAGCCTCGAACCTTCGTCCAAGGACTGCGACGCGGATGTTCGCCCGTGCCGACCTTCACTTCCGCACCTCCGAGAATCGCGCGACCCGAGGCCTCCCGACCACCGACGGGCGTTCCCACGCAGCTCGTTCGCCAGGGCCGCCACCGAATTGACACCTGTCCTACAAGACATCCTGGGGCGCGGCGCAATACGCACGCGTTTCAAACGGCGATCATCCGCTGGCTATGTCTCGCTGGGCCTCCCTCGGGGCTACCGGGGGTCTCACCTGGCGGGACTCCGCGCCGAAAGCGTTGCCCCCCGCGCCCCAAAACCACCTATTACGACACCACATCTGCATGGCAGACCCGATATCGGCCCGTATAACGGGCCGCACACCCGACACCCCCGCAAGCACTGGAGTGCGAAAGGGATCCCGACGCCGCTGCGCGCCGGCGGAAAAACCCACTGCGTAATACAAAGTTTCAACTATGCTGGGCACCGAAATCTAGTGAACTAGATACTTTATAAAATTTGGTCCATTCATTATTTTCGTCATTAAAGCGAAAATAAAATATCTCTATGTCTCAGGTCATAATAAGGTTACACTTAAACTAAAATGAAACCACGATGTTAGATTTATTTTCTTTATTAACACTTAGGGATAGACCCTGATATGTGTACTACCACGCGAACTGCTCACATTTCGGTTTTATATTAACACACTTATACAATACGTACAGGAACTGTAAGACATAAAAAATTGAAACCAATTTATGATTAAATAAATAAAGTTGAAAGAAACCATTTAAATTATATTTTTTGTATAAAGTTACAAGAACAATTTTTTTTTTTTTTATATTGAATTGCAAAAATGGAAATATTAAAAACACATGTCTCTATAATTTAAATTAATATATATTAATTTTGTCGTTCAAACATTTTCAGATCTAGTACTTAAAATACGCTAAAAGCTATATTTCGAACATAAGGACGAACATTAACGCATTAAATCTTTATGTTTGTTACAGAAATTAAAATACATATGAAACAATGAAATTATAGATTGAGTTACGATAACTTAAAGAAATAACAATTAAAATAAATAATATAGACAAATGTCGTCATAAATAAGGTTTTTGTAGGCTAATGAGCAGTTATCACGGATTTTCTACTGTTACATTAAAACTTTATATCAAATAGAATTCTCTACATAACCTATATACACTTAAAAGTCTAGAAAAATAATTTAATCAACTACTATACATACACTATAGATACAACTTATTCAATGGAATATAAATATAGGTACTTAATTATACGTTAATACTATTTTAAAATCACTGGCTCACCGGGTTTTTATAATTAATATTACATAAATATAACTGAAACGAACACAATAATAATTACTCTGTATTAATTCTATTAGTGATTAGTAAGTTTGAAAATAATGTGAAAAAACTAAATAGTTTTTTTTTTGGTGAAGTGCTATTCAAGAACAGTAACTAAATTTGGAATTCAAGATTTATTGGAATGCTTATTTATTCGCAGTCGTCGATTGCTTTAACAAAATCTTTGGTTAAACAATTTTAATTCAATGAAGACAACTTGAATAATTTATTTAGACAGTAATTCATATTCCTATTTAGTTATTACATATTTGTTACAGTGAAAATTATTTTTAATCTGTGCAGGTAACTATTGCTTTAACCGATCTATCTATACAAATTAGGGTAGGAACATTTTTTTCATATTTATTATTCAATGTAAATTTTACCCAAATGAATTTACTTTGAATTTTGTATTTCGTATGGTGGAAAACGTTTTGCACACTCACCCCTCCTTAGCAAGTATCAAAATTGTTGTATTGACGTATACAAGGTAAGACCACTGAGATTATTACGTCTCAAGCAATACAATGTTGATACTTGAAAATGTGTAGCTTATTATGTATGCAAATCCCATATATACTTTTACATTGGATGTCTTGGTGAAGGGGTGTGCTCCGGCCGCGAAGATTGGGCTGAAGGGTGCGCGGGGGGAGGGTATGGGCAATAACGAAGGGGTGCTGTGGGTTTCTGTAGCCACAGATCTGGTGGCAGGCTCAAGGGCTGTGGCCAAGTGGGCCACGGTCGACCGCCTAACGCCAGCAGTTGTAGCGCTGGAGGTGTTCTTGCCCAGGCTGCCCGTTTTTCGGCCTCTTCTTCACTGGAACCAGTGCCGGCGTATAAACGAAGAGGGGATCTGAGTAGTTGCTGCTCCATCAACATTAGTTCCATTGGGTCCCTGGAATTGAAATCGTTCAGTTATTCACAATGTTATTTTATAAAAACGATACTAATCTATTTTTTAATAACGATAAAAACAAAGAACAACGTAATAAAGAAACAACAAACAATTTGTTTTTTTTTATAGGTTTACTTCGTTACTTTATATGGCCAGTCTATCTGTTTTAAATATAGTGCACTAAAGATTAGTCTTAGTTTAGTGCAAGTATTTTTATTACTAGACAAGGCACACCGTCAGAACTATAATAGCATTTATTTACCAATTCTTAAGTCATTTTAAATGATCTCAACAACTTAATATATCGCGATGTATTCCATTGAAGTTGTAATATTCCGTTAGAACGACGCTGTCGGCGAGAGTTAAGGTTAGAAGAATTATCATTTCGAGAGATTCTAGAATGTGGTAAGTGAAATCCCGTTTCCCCCGTGGGGCATGGGACGAACGAGTTTCTGTAGCGTATTCATTTGATCTGACATAGGTTAGATCAAATCGGTTGATCTGACATAGATCAGATCAATTCGAAATAAATTCCGAATTCCAAATGAATGGTTCCATTGAATGGAACCATTCATTGTTTCCCGGGATTTAAACCGAGGACTACGCTTATCGTAATGCTAGCAACGCCATTTAAATACAGAAGCGGTCAGATTCTAGAATGTAGTGAACATATTATTGACATAGATTCCCCGAATATAGTGGGAGCCGGTACATTTGTTAGCTTTCAGCAGCCCATAGCCTATAAAATTGGATTCGCAGAACCTCGCGGCCACCGACGCGCGACTGGCCACGTGTTTTCTCGTCTCATGAAGCGTTACAATCGTAAATTAATTGCTAATTAAGCGTTAATCAAAATCTAATCCATACGTGTTAGAAGAGCGTTTGACTTGTGCAACTTTTAAGTCAAAAAACAATCAATATTCAACTATTTTGATTGTACGTGTACAAGTATATTGTAATACATTAGGTAAAATCTTTGTTTCAGTGCTGTTGGGCATAACTAGTTTATAATTTGTATGAATTCATAAAATAATAGTAGATAATTGAAATCTTTATAATTTGTATACTTTATATTTATTTTCATACTATTGTAAAGTTTAAATTTAAATTCAAAATTGGAACACGCATATTACAGTAAATTTCAGTGAAATTTGCGTATTGGAGATCGAAAATAAATTGTATAAGAAGTATAAAAGAAATAAAGTGTTATTATGTGTATATGTGGGATAACACATGAAGTTTTAATAAACTGGATTTTTGTGCTCATAAAGGCTTTAGGCTATATACAATTCACTAGGACCGGTGACTTTTAAAAGTATTTTAATTTTGAGGCGTTGTTATCATCGCTGTTAGTTGTAGTTTATTTAGTACTTAGTACGAAGTATATAATTTACATGTTCGCTATATTCCCAATTTCTAGCGCGAGAAAAGTATCTCCAACGACGATTGTTTCGTCGAAGCGTATTTACGAGTGTTACAGTTAACGATGCGAAAGTGCGCTCCTTTATTGCTGAATGCATCGCGATGCCTTTATCGGTTCTCGGATGCTGGACCGCCGCCGTGCTTCACACTAACCAGCTATTTTCATCGCTCCACGAACAATATTAAAATGACGACTAGTAATTTTATACTCTCGTAGGAATTAAGCGTTTTGAGTTATGGGCCATAAGTAAGCGTGACGGGGTGAGCGGTGTTCAAAATTGGCATGACAACGTGAGATGGCGTGTCGAATTTAATCTATCACTGGGCCGCGGGCGCCGGCCGAACCGTGGTTTGAAACAGGTAGTGCCTTCTTACTTACAGATCTTTAGACCCGCTAATATCTACAAAAAACTTAATAGATGATGTTAATATTTTATTGTGCACATCTTGTGTTTAATTTAACTAATTAAAATTTAATTATTGAGCACCGTTCTACCAATTCCCTTTTTATGCTCATGATAAATAAGAATACAAATATTATATCCTTTGAAGTAATGCAAAAATTATTTTTTTAAGGTTCTTCTTTAGCACATTGTGCACTTTTTTGTTATGGATGAAAAATGTAACCTCACGATGACACAATGCCCGATCGAAAAGTCGTAAGACGAAAGTGAAGAAGGAGAAGTGTTTTGTATTTTTTAATGCAACTAATAAAATTATATTAGTTAATTTTTAGACATCAGTTCTAAAGTGTCCCACACATTCACACAAACTTAACATTCTCAAAATCTTTACGTTTATACTACCTACTAAATTCCCGCTTATTTAATATCAACAAGGTATGACTCCTTAGCTCCTTAACAGACACAGTTATGTGTCTATTTTACTGTTTTAGTTACTTTATACTATAATAAAACTTAAATAAAAATAAATTATAAACGAAGACATCTCACACACAATTTAGCTATTATACTACGATAGCCAAAGATCGTAGATTCATCTTTTATATTGGGTATTAGTTGAATTGATATTATTAGTTCGGTATCCTATAGTTATTGTAAGCAGCGAAGACTGCGTTCACGTCGGGAATGTTTCGGGGGCTATTGGGGCGTTAATGGTGTATTTATTATGATTTCACTATCAACCGTAATGGCCGACACTCGCCGACAAATTACAGGGCGGCCGCTTTAAGAATTCTCAGCGAGTCGGATGGAGTTATCGATATATCGACTCGCGGTTTGTGATTTGCAATAATTGATAATGTTTTGACATTTCGGTGTAAAATTCGAAAGATATGCTTACGAATATCTTTATTGTAGCTAAAGGGGTATTTATAATCATTATTACATAAGATTAAATAAAGGTTTAGGTCTTTAAAGTCTGAATAATATAAATTAATTGTAGGTATTTTTAATCAGTGATAGTTCATCTATTAATAGATCCTAGTTATATCTGCTTCACCTCACTTCATGTTTAGTTTTTTAATTTATAATATTATTAACGAATTTATTTTAAACTTTTGCTTCTTGGTCTAATAGTAATATGGGTAATAATGAATTCGAATCCAATGGAGGCAAAATTGTTTCAAATTCGTTTCCATTCTTTGAAAAAGGCCCTCTCCCCGGGGGTTTTTTAAGGGGGTTCCCCCAAACAAAAAAATTTCAAAAAAAATTTTTTTTTTAAAATGTGACAGCACAATGTATTGAGTTATATGCTTAGAGTATTTCACCTTCCATCAAGAAAACACTTGATACAGCCTGACACTAGACGGATATATCTAATAATACGGATTGTAAGGAAATTCCACTGATTTTTTCTTTGTGTATAAAATCCTTAGCCCGTTCACTCTTTAGTAACCTAATAAAAACCTCAGCACTTAAGTGTAAACGAAGGTCGCCCCTGTCAGATCAACTTAGTTGTATGACAGAAGTAGAGTGGCAATTTACCAGAGATACAATCAGCGTCCGTTGAACTGAGTTTCCTACTCTACACAGTAGCAAGTAGACATCGATCTATACATAACTATTAATTCTACTTTCTAATAGACATCTGAGTGAAGTGATCAGGTGTGAATGAACTGTACGCTGCTGAATGGCGAGGTAATTTTTAACATATATTATTTAACATTTGGCTGCGTGTTAATTTTACAAACGAATAGGTACGTAATCAATATGAATCTCAACGTACCTAATTATATATCTATCTACCAAACTTATTAGGCTGCTGCAAAACATCCGAAACTATAATATTATTTATAAATAAGTAAACTAAAATATTTCACGTTTAAACTGTAAAAAGTATTTTAATTGTGTAATAGGGGCTTAAACTACAGACATAGATACTTAATTATTAATAGAATAATTATTTATACTTTTATTACCTACCTTTAAATAGACTTTATAAAGTCTACGTTATAACGTAGGGGTAAATTCTTATTAAATCTTTTTATTTGGTTTATTATATATGATAGAGGATAGACAAACAAGAGGTTTAGTTGATCGAAAGTGAAAATACTACGGTCATCGTGAACGACGGTTCGTGACCCAGACGGAATTCGGATATTGATACCACCCATATAATATTGTTACCTAAGTTTATTCTAAAAAGTCAAGAGGTATAACTATATAAAGCCAACAACAAAATAAAAACAGCCTGTAGATAAACTCGCCACCACGGCACCAAAAAAGTAATAGACAGCCTTAAGTATTTCTTAACAATGCGTCTAAATGAATATTAATATTTCGAGTTAGGTCGAATGCGGTAGCGAGAGCCTTCCTTCGTAATTGCGTCGATAACATCTCGAATCCGTCAATCAGTCGAGTGGTGAACTATCAACGCCGGCGATGCTGTATCATTTAATCCAAATCGGTAGCCACGTACTGACGTACAACGAGATTAGATTATTAAAAGGTTCACTAATTCCACGGCCGCTCTATGTCGGAGGCGTGACTCGGCCATTGGAGACTGTTGCATCATTTCCTAGATCTAAGTGTTTCAATTAATAAATCTTTAATGCCAATAATTCTATATTTAGGATTATCTAAAGTGAAATGCACCTATTCTAACGAATTTTAATGTTTAGAATTTAATAAGGACTGAACATTAAAGTTTAGTTCGGTGGTTGGTTCATGATAATAATATAAACAGTGCGCAACATTGCGTACTGGACGTAAAGTCTACCCCGGTCCAGCACGTTTTTAATTATTATTCTATATATTTCACTGAGCGACACAAAATTATGAATTTGAATTGGTTAGAGTGTTTTATTTAAATACTTTAACGCTTTAAAACGCAAAATATATAAGTAAAAGTTATTTAAAAATTATTTCAATTATTTAATTACGGCCCGACATTAGGCGTGGTCACGGGGAGGCCACGAGTAAAGTAATCCAGGTCACGACTCAACGTAACCCATCAAGTGTAAATTGTTTATCCGAAAGCAAAATATGTCGATAGCGTATATTAAATGTTATAAGATTAGGACATTATCCTTGTATAATATACATCAATGGTATCCTGTCACATAAAAATTATACACAGATGACGATAGCCTTACATTTTTGACAGTGACATTTGTGACATCCCTAACAACCAGTGACTTCAAAAAAAAACGCGCGATACGCCGGGTCAAAGCTAATAACCTAAAAATTGATCGAGTTTCAACACGTTGAATTTAAAACTGCGAATTGCTTTATTTGAGGCAGACGTGTTTATACCGCGATGACGCTAAATTATCAAGTTGGTAAAGATATAGCGTGTTTCGTGTTTACGGCTCACGATGTGAACCGGTCGGCCATCGCTGCGATGGCCAGGCGGTTAATAGAAATGCGCTTTAATTTGTCGTTTAGGGTATAATGAGGAGCGAGCCCTGTGATTACGCGTACCGCCGCCGCCAGCCATCGCTGTTGACGTGCGCTCTTTCCACACGGTCACTGCTAACCCCTACTATACATTTTCGAGAGTAACTCGTACGTGAATTTTTATTTATTACAGATGTGTATAGGTCTTAAAATGTATCTAATCTAACACTTTAACGGTTTAAAACGCGATATATTAGTTAAACTTATTTGGAAATGTCAGTCTCCCCGTGACCACGGCTGCTACAAAGCATCCGAAACGTCGGGCCGAAGTTAAAAATAATTTCCAAATAAGTTTAACTAATATATCGCGTTTTAAACCGTTAAAGTGTTTTATTTAAATGTGTACTACTCGCGTAAACTATAGACAGTATCTATAGATTTACTAGAAACGCCTAGAATGTCCTGCGAAGTATCCGAAACGTCGGGCCGTAGTTAAAATAAAGTAATGAGTTTAACCAATATTTATCGCGTTAAACCGGTGAAGTGTTTGATTTAAATATGTGCCTACTACTCGCGTACACAACAGACAGTATGTAATGTCCCGCAGTCAAAAAAGAAAACTGTTATGTAATTCACATTCAATTACATTATAAATTTGCTTAGAATATTTAATAATAAAGTAATTAACTATACCTAACACTGATAAAATATTTCCCTAAAGTTACATAAACTTTAATACATATGTATAATTAATTGATGTTTGAAGAGTGACAAATATTCGAGTTCGAGGAGTAAAGCAGGTTATAGTCGAGTGTTAAACACAAAATATAAATCGAGTGTAAATAGTAGAGGAACACATGAGAACGCCCGCCGCGGCCTGCCTCCGGCAAATTCTCGCTTCATGCCGGACGGCACAACTTAAACGCAATGAGTTGAAATCAAAATTACTCGAAACAATTCCATGTGCACCTCGCATTTAATGTGTAAATATCGTTTAATCACTGTCGCATTACGCTTGTCTGCAGTTGTTTCGTTTTCGGAGATAATTTGCTTTTCTCTTTGAATGTTTTTTTCTTTAATTACCGACGCGAAATGAGAATTTTATTTTTATTGCATTTACTCGTTAGTAGGTAAGTTAATTTCGTAATAAAAACTTGAATGAGGTAATATTTAATACAATTTTAAGATACGAGGTGGAAAAAATTAAATAGTATTTAAAAGGCTTTAATTAAACTACCTTACTTACTTATTTTGCGTTTTAATAATAAAACGTTAAAGTTTGCGATGTTTTGTTGAATATTGAGAAATAATATTTAACGCCAATAACATGCTTTAAAAAATTTTAATCGTTTAAAAAGGATTATTAGTTAAATTTATTTTAACTAGGCTCGCGTTTCTGATGCTTTACAGCATAATTTTCCAATAAGTTTAACTAATATATGTATATCGTGTTTTAAACCGTTAAAGTGTTTTATTTAAAATTAAACTGCGTAGTTAAGTTAAAAAAGTGAATGAAAGGTTTGACTTTACCTCATATAACACCTTGGAGATTCAAATAAGGTGATAGGGTATTGATACCAAATCGATTCTACGATCAGTATTCAGCTTAGAGGTTTGCAATCAGTGGAGGCAGGTTTGATCTTTTATTCATGTCGGTGCCGCACGCCGCCCAAATTGCAGGGCAGCCGACCTAATGCCTTTCAACTGTTGCTAATAACCTGCCAATTTATCAAACTTGCCTCCAGCGATTCCGAACGGTTCTGATGTTACCTTGACTGACATTGTATAAAAGGTGCCAATTACACAGCATATGGGCTTTTAAATCCTGATGATTAATCGGCTCCAAATTGCCGAACGACGATAGAGCTCTCTTGATAGTGCATTAACGAAGTGGGATACATTTTTTTTATGATAGAGGAGGACAGACAAGCATAAGGTTCTTGATGGTAGATGATATGCCCCAGCCTATAGCATCTAAACAAATGCCGTCGCCTATTTTGTCATTGGATATTTGGAAATCCACAGACTGAAACCGAAACGCTATTACGCTTCACGGCTTTTTATCCGTGGACGGTGTTTCGTGACCTGTACGGAATTTCTATATTCCTACCACCCATTTTATATCCAGACGAACTCCAACATGTTTTAGAAAAAAATATTTAAATTTAAAAAGTTATTTAGTTTAAAGAAGAGATCGTTGGTTGTGAGACGAAATGTTAGTTCTTTTATATGTATTCCCAACTAATGAGTCTAGTCTATGAGATATTTTTCTAATAACCCCAGAGTTTCAAAGTAGGAGGTGTCCATACGCCGTGGCAGGGCTATTAAGCCATTGATTCGTATTATAATCAATAATTTAGTGGCGGCATTGGAAACAACATCTTCGGTCTTGGAAAAGCCTAACTTTGTGACATTAATACGTTGTTGTTTTGTAAAAAAACGTGTAAAAACTATTGTAAATAAAACTCTTTAACGGTTTAAAACACGATATATTAGTTAAACGTATTTGGAAATGATTTTTAACTTCGGCCCGACGTTTCGGATGCTTTGCAGCAGCCGTGGTCACGGGGGAGAGAGAGAACTATTTTGTCAAATTGTTCAGATTAAGTTTATATAATTATATCTAAAACGCAACTATCGATTACTATGTAAGTATACATGCCCACATAACGTCGTATAGGCGATCGTCGGTATTTTCATTATATCGTATACTTATGTTCTTACGACACTTAATAGGGCTTACAGACTTTCTTGGCGTAAAACCGCTTGTAAGTCATCTTTATTAAATGAATGTAAGTATATGTAAGAATGTATATAGATCAGCTTATGTAGATGACGTCACTTACACTGTTACTTAACTACGCGCCTATGTATACCTTGTATCATTGTTTACACCAGGCTTGGTTGTAACGTTCAAAAATAATATAAAAGGGAATTTCAAGTCTACATTAATTTAAAACTTCGCTGCGTTTCGGAGCTTCTTTATAAGTCAACTAAATACTAAGCAAATCCACCATGCTACACATTTGTTTTTTGGTTTTTGATAGACCGCTATTATGAGATCACGCAATGTTTTACTTCACCAGCAGGTATAGGTACTAAATTAAATAATTTAAATAATTATTAATAAATTAAATACTTTAATTACAACTCGACGTTTCGGATGCTTTGTAGCAGCTACATTGTGGTCACGAGGGGACCCAAAACGTTAACATATTTCGTGTTTAAGCCATTAATTTTATATGTGCACACGCATAAACAACAGACAAATATTCGTTTTAATAGTAAAAAAAAAGTTATATTATATTTAACACTTACCGATCAAAATCAGTCAACCGCGAGGAATCTCTGAAGCCCTTAGCGAATGGATTGGAGTCTATTTTGAGTTTTGTGATCAGCTGATTCTGGTATGCGGTTACAGCCGTGAATACTGTCTCAGGGAAGACGAAGGTCCTATGCTGTTCGCGGGACAGGTCTGTGATGGGGCCGCCTCCCTCGCGGACCTTTACCAAGTGGATGCGCGGTTGATACCGGTGCATCGAATTCAATACGATCTGCAAAAAGATAGATTTATATTTCACTATGCTGGGATAAACAAGATACACGCATTCATACGCAAATTAAGAAGGTTAATCACAAGAATATAAAAAAAAATGCCAACTGGCCACGAAAAGCATCTAAAACGAGGTCGTAGTTAGATTTATGTATTCAGGTATAAACTGCACTTCAGTTGATTTAAACCATTTAACTTAAAACTAAAACATTCATGTATTAAGATTGAAAAAAAAAAAATGTTTATATCATTATTACAGTAGGTATTTATCTACAGTAAGGTAACAGAAATATGATTACAATTACATGCACATTAAATAATTTTAGGTATTTGAAAATATTGTCTGTAAAGTGTCATGACTCACTTTTAACGGTTTGTCTTATTATTTGTCTCTCCGCAAAGAATCCGCAACGTCGGGCCGTAGATAAAATAATTGTAGTAGTTAATTGTACACAAATATAACTAGTGCATTATGAGTATTACACCGTTAAACGTGTTTTATTTAAAATATAATAAAATTTTAAAACAATTATTAAAACACTGTTTATCTTGTAAGGACGGTATCAATAGTTCTAAGCTGGAAGCCCAAACAATACAGTAGGTAATATATGCATATCTTATACAAGACAGATGTACAGAATGGCACAACGGGCTCACAGATATGCAAATTCAGTCATTAGGTTCACCACAGACACGCATACGATTAGACGATTAGCAACAATATAGCTACATTGTATTTTATGATATCATTACAACCCAACGGACATCGAGACATCTAAGTGCCTATCGTAGATAATTAGTAAGGGCTGTTCCCAGATTTACATGTTTATATAGAGTCAGTATTTCAAGTAAACTAGTAAGTCAATGCATTTGATGTTTTAAAATTTAAATAATTACGACTTGTTCTTTGTTAGGCACATACTTGTTATTATTTTCTAAATTCATAAAACATATACACGTAGATGATACCCATATTATGCTATAAATCTTAGTTTAAAAAAGTTTGGGAGTGTATCGGGACGCCTTGAAAAGTGAAAACTGTAAGTAATCTCAGCTGATCACTGTAGTTTCCGCGAGTAGTACCTACACATAAAAAAACACATTAACGGTTTAAAACGCGAAATGTTAAACTTTTAAATAAAACACTTTAACGGTTTAAAACGTGATATATTAGTTAAACTTATTTGAAAATGTTTTTTAACTTCGCCCCGACGTTCCCCAGCCGCAAACCATCCGAACGGCCGGGCCGAAAAAAAACATTTTTTTAATAAGTTTAACTAATATATCCGCGTTTTAAACCGTTAAAGTGTTTTATTTAAATGTGTACTACTCGCGTAAACTATAAGTAGACAGTATTTAATGTTAAACTTATTTAAACATTATTTTAACTCCGGCCCGACTAACTTTTAAATTAAGTTTAACTAACATATATTGCGTTTTAAACCGTTAATCTCAGATGAACTTTTTTAAGTTGAATGCGAAAAAAGAAACCAGAGTAAAACCGTGACGCGTTACGTAACGACTCGGTTCATCTGGTGCCTGAAGGGATACTAAAAACACAATATAGTATAGTACATTATAATACGCGTGGGTACGGAAAAGCAAAATCGTTTTATCAAATCGGGTAATAATATTTTTGAATTTCTTTATTGTCACTTCATGGTTTCAAAAGTGTTCGTTTCCCCGACACTCCTGCGTGTCTATTTTGCAGATCAATATTATTTAATGGCAAGTAGATCTGCGGTTTGACCAACTGAAACACTTCGGTACGATTAATACAATATTAAATACAAACCTCTCGCGTTCAAAGCTTCACAACGGCGTTTACCATTGGACACGAAGGTTTAAAACAGTTTTAATTGGTCACGCGTCAAATGCCCATCTAGTTAAACAGTTAACCAATTTAAAACCTCAACATAGGCTTACGCAACTCCCTTGTTAATTAATTCATTAAAGCAGTGCGTTATCTAGTATTATAATGACAGTGTCGGCGTTTTCTCATCACGTTACATTGTCGGTAATTAATTTGTTGGCCAGAAGCCGATGTGACGCGCTGATAGTCCCCGTGTCGGCAAATTGCTTGGACTTGCCGCTGATGAGATAATTAACTTTTGTTCATTAAATAATTTGAATACATTATGTGTGGCGTCTACCTAAATTATTTTGCCGCCTTGAAGTACAAAAATGGTTGTTTTCACTTGTAACTTTGATGCGATAATTTAAAATAAGCACCTTTTTTAGCTTACTAGCTTAATTTGTTGAATGATTTTAATGATATTAGAGCAAACGAGCAAGAACCTAGTATAGCTTTGAAAATTACCGCCTCTTATTAGGCTGCGAATCTTAAAGCGTTGGCAGACCTTTCAGTCTCAAAGATCCAAAGATCGTGTCCGTTCGCTACATTTAACTTCTTTACAATGTACATTTTATAAACAATTAATAATAGAAGTAAAGATACCCCACATACTATTCTATACAATCCTACAGATTACGAGTATGTACGTACCTGTATACCCCGCTCCTATACCGCCTCTTTTAAAACTAAATTCAAGTGATTTTACCTTATTTTATAACTATTTTTTGTTAAAGGGTTATGTGTAATTAAGTGTTCCTATCCTCAATTGTTTTATAATATTGTAATTTTATTGCCTTCATTGTTTCAAGATCTGGTTGCGTAAGTATCTATTTAACTATCATTTTATCTGTGAACCTATTTAAGGAAACATTTGTTTTTTTCTTTGTATTCCTTATATGTTACTGGGATATTTCAGTTTGTTTCATATATCATTACATAGTATAAAAACAAAGTCGCTTATTCTGGACTTAGGTACCTATGTGCGCTTAAATCTTTAAACCTACGCAACGGATGTGAAAATATAAAAATAGGTGTAGACAAAGTGATATAGTAATTATTGAGTCCTCTTCGACTTCCACGTAACCTTCGGCGCAATCAAAGATCCGTGGGCGTGGCCGGCGTCATTAGCTCACCTCTAATTTTCACACCTGCGCCCGGGCCCTAATGAAATACGTCCGAGAGCCCAGCCCAATAACACTCTCCGATAATTACTACCCACAGATTTGATGATAACAATTAATTAGAGCTAAATCCTTATCCGCTGTTGCCATTCTAGTTTCTCATTCATTGTGGCCATTCTATTAATATCATTTTAGTGTTCAACAATTCTACTAGGGTCATTAACTAGCTGTATATGTAGGATATTCTAGTATTTACTCAGGTCTTCGAAAATATATTTTTACTACGAAAATAGTAGGTTTTAAATATTAGAACTTTATATACCTTTAACGGATTAAAACATCAAATATATTGTGTTATTTCGGGACCACGACTGCTGCAAAGCATCCGAAACGAGCCTTATAATATATATATGTATATATAATAGTACCTCATTTTACGTTAAAAATAGATTAAAATATTTTATAAAAACATTACTCGATTAAAATAGACACAGTAAATATTTGAACTACCTACTATTATGTTGTAATTTAACAATATTATCTCTGTCAACTATTTTTTTTATTTAGAGGAATTTAATTTTAATTAGGCAAAAGGTACACTTAGTACCTATAAGTGTAACTTCACTAAAGAGTTAAGATTGTTATTATATTATTGTTAATAAGGAAATATATACCTAAGAATAAAACTAAATAAGTTCTCACTATAAATTATATAGAATTCAAAGAGATCAAACTTGGCGCAAACTCATCCTATCAAGATTTATTAAATATACTTTATCCAATTTCGTATGATACTTGGAAAGATAACGAACTTTTCAGGCCATCTCTCTAATCGAGCGTCGTAAATCATTCGACTATAATCGTGCGTATGACTCAGTTTCAGTTTAGGCTGTGGTCTCCTAGAAATATTATACCTTATTTATTGCTTAGAATATTACAAAGGCAATAAAAGTCTTCTGCCAATAGTGAACCTTCAAACAAGCTTGTTCTTGTAACTTTTTCATAATAGAGGAGGACAGGCAAACATACAGTTCACTTGGAGGAAGATGAAACATAAAATGCAGCTAGATGCGTTGTCTACTTATCACGGCATTGTTTTATCGTGGGCTGTGTGGAAATACGAAAGGCGATTAAATTGCACGGCCATTTTATCTGTGGACGGTAATTCCAGATTTCCAAACGAAGTCGAACAACCGTGTTTCAGACAAACTTAAATTGATTATAATCATGTTGGATGTGGTGGGTTTTGAACACCAACGAGTCCAAAATTACCTACCTTAACTATTTAATATTGTTATCCCGTTTCCACTAGTGGGGCATGGAGTGAAAAATAAATCCATTACACTAATAGATTTACAGACGAGTAATCAGTCTTCTATGCTTTGGGAAACCAAAACAATTTATTGCTTCCACAAGATTCAAAGCCAGGACCTCTAGTGAGAGCTAATGGTGAAGTAAGTGCAACGCTTGCGGTAAACTGGATAGGCGTTTATATTAGACCGAAGCCTTATTAACACTAACGAAATAGTTACAGGTGATAAAGTAACAAATGATAGACAGATCAACCCACCTACCTGTTCGCCATTTCGACGAATAATTTATAGCACTATTGATTTATACCCGCATTACTATCACTCAAAATACGATCTTAATTTATAGATCACGTAGGTAGTTCTAGATAAGGTTTTAATGATTCAGCCACTAAAATCTATGTTAGGTATAGTTTTAACATGAAAAAGATTTTAAAGTCCTGATACAATACGCTATTATTATTTCTAATTTGTTAGATTCGAAACCTTGCTTATCAAAAAATATCGTAACACCTATTTTTTTCATAGGATGTCACTTAACAAAGAAAATGAAGAAATAAAGAAATCCCATTACCGTGGGGAACGGAGCGAACACATCTCTGTCCATGGTCAGTTCCCTTTCAGGCAAGTGGTTGATCAGACTTCTGTGCCCAGCTCGACTGAAATTACTTATTGTTTTCCCAGGATTCGAATCTATCGCGCTTAGCGCAATGCT